ATATTATATATATATTATATTTATATTATATATATATTATATATTTATATATATATATGAAGTGTGGGATATGTAATAAGTCGAACCTTACGAAACAGCCACTCTCATTGGTCGAAATGTTGGAAATTAGCGATTTCTTATCCTTTCACATATGTAGGACGCAGAAAGGATTGGGGTCTGCGGACCCCCAAAGAGAGCAGGCCGCATAATCTTGCTAGGAAGGATGTAATGACCACCCATGTCCCCCTCCCGAAAGCACCCAAAGTTGACCCGCCGCCCAGAGCCGTTGCGTGAGTTCCTGGGGTCACACGGTCCGCAGAGAGCAGAACAGTCCCTGCGGCGCCAGGAAGCGACCCTCGGTAAACAAAGCGGTGGCCCCGGGCGCAGGCCGGCGGAGGGGGTGGGGGATATGTTGTGAATGAACGTGGGGCCCTCCCCGAAACTCCGCACCAGGCCTGCGCCGTAGGGTCCCCCGCTTTGATTGGACCGCGCCGCCCCGTGATGGACAGCGCCGCTCGTTGCGACCTCTGATTAGTCAGTGGCGAAAAGACGGATGTGAGGGTTGTTGAATGAGCAGCGGTGACTCGGAGGCGGGTCTGCGAAGTCAGCCAATTGCAAGGGAGAGGCTGAGAGGAGGGGGCGGGGCTGCGGCTGTGGAGGCAGGGGCAGCCTAGGCGGCTTCATTGTTGTGGAGAATCTTAAAGGGGCCGCGTCGCCCGGCGGGCTCCGCCGGATGGAGCCCCCCGCGGCCAAGCGCAGCCGGGGCTGTCCTGTGGGGAACGAGCGCGAGCCCGGGACCGGGGCCCGCCGCTGCCGTCCGGAGCCGCTGCTGGACCTCAGCGCCAAGCGGGTGGCCGAAACCTGGGCCTTCGAGCAGGTGAGGCCCCGGCCTGTCCCAGGCTTCCTATCCCTCCCGAGCTCGCCCCCCGCGCCCACCCGATCTCCGCCCCAGGTCCCCTCGCGGAGCGACCTTGCGATCCGCCCCCGAGGCCGCGTTTCACACCCTCGTCTCCATTCAGACCTCACTCCAAGTCCCACCTGGGGATACCTGGCTCTCCAAGCCTTAGCCCCCAGAGATCCACATTGCCCCGTTGCTGCCTACCGTCTCCCTGTCTCACCCTCCAAGGAAATGGACCCCCCCCCATCTATGCAGCCCAATTTAAGACACCCCTTTATCCTGGTGCTCCAGTGTCCAGAGCTGCTCCATCCTTTGAGACCCCCCCCTCCTCTCCAGGTGCCCCCACTGTGGGACCAGGGGACGGGTTATGGAAGGAAGGAGTCCGAGCCCTTCCCTTCTCCCCATCCCCTTCCTGCCATCTCAAGGCCAGCAGCAGAGGTAGCACCCTATAGGTGGTATGTAAGCAGGGGCCCCTGAAACCCCTTTTGGGGGGCTCTGCCTGAAGGTCCAAGGACTAGGACCCTACAGGTCTCCTTTCCTAGTCTGTATCCCCCAAGGAGCCCAAGAGAGGCAGGGGCCCCTCTCATTCCTCTATAGCCCCCACGGGCTCCTGGTCTGACTGTGGGGATGTTCCCTACTCTTCCCGAGTTAGGATGGATGGGTATGGGCTGGTTGTGGATGGAGCAGCTCTGATTCATTACAGGAAAAATCCCTCCTTAGTCATCTGCCGACTGTCAGGGAGCCAGTCACACTCCCACTTCCCCTAGAAAAGAAGAGGTGGGGGAACTGTTTGTGAGGGCCTCTCTGCCTTTCACACTCACAGAATAACCCTAAAACCATCTTCAGGGTCCACACAGACCTGCCCTGGTCCAGCCAGGTGCTAGGAAAATTCCTGAATGCTTCTGAAACCCTTTGAGAATTGTTCTCACTTTGAGGAAACTGGGGCACAGAGAGGTTGAGAAACCTGCCCAAGATTACCCAGCCAGTGACTAGCCAACACATACAGGAACACTACCTCAACCAGCTGGTTCTAGTTCCTGGAGCCCACAGTTGGCCAGGTCACCTCCCCTCCCCAGGGCCCTTTCCAGGTGACAGGCAGGAAAAGAAAACTAGAGGAATGGAGCTAGTCTTGGCAGTTGGAGCTCCTTAGCTTAGGGATCTTGGAGAGATGAATTTGTGCTTCCCTGAGCCTCATGTTCTGAGGCTGTGGCATGGAAGATGTGGTAGAGACCACTTACATAAAATGAGGGGTAAATAAATGGTGGGAGCATGTGTCATTCTGGCACTCCTACCTGCCTTCCCTTGTCCCCTCAAAGCCTCAAAGCAGCTTGTAAACAGCAAAGCCAGGATTCTATTTCAGGTTTCTAATCCACCAACCTTTTCCACAGGTAGAGGAGCGGTTCTCCCGGGTGCCAGAACCGGTCCAGAAGCGCATTGTGTTCTGGTCTTTTCCACGCAGTGAGCGGGAAATATGTATGTACTCATCGCTGGGTTACCAGCCCCCAGAGGGTGAGCAGGATGCCCGAGTACCCTTTACCCGTGGGCTGCACCTACTGCAGAGTGGGGCTGTGGACCGAGTGCTGCAAGTGGGTGAGTGAACGTCCCCCTTCTGTCGGGAGACAGAGAGTTCAGGGCAGGCCAGAGGGAAGTGACCAGGGCTGGGGACCCTCTAGACCACCTGCTCTGAGGCAAAGGTGAGCTTGGGTGAGATGCTGTAGCAATCTCTGGGTACAGCACTGGGGATGTAGAGGCAAGAGGATGGAGAGTTTGAGGCCAGCCTGGGCTGTATAATGAGACCCTGCTAAAAAACAAAACAAACCACCAAGGCTCAGGCAGTGGGGCTTGGAAGAATAAGGCCAGAAAAAGGTAAACTAGAGTGGGGATAGAGAGGACCCAGAACTTTGTCAGGAGGACCCAGGTAAGGGTAGAGGACGGAGGTAAAGCTAGTCCTGGACCTGAGGCATAGGGCTGCTACGGGGATTGGGACACGGGTGACAGTTCTAGGACTCTGGCTTCAGGCTGGGCTTGGGGACAAGATTATGAGCTGAAGGTGAAAGGCAGATGGGCTGAGGAATGAATAAATTGGCCAAGAGGTGAAGGAGGAAGGAGGGTCCCAGCTGGGGGTCACAGACACCACTCTTAACCACAGGGGGAGTCAGTTCCAGACCTCAGGCAAAGGTAGTCGGTAATGTGGTAGGGTAAGAGACCAAGGAAAGAATGATATTAAAGCTGGACTTGGTGGCCTTCACCTATACCACCAGCACTCAGGAGAATGAGACCAGAGAGTCAAGAGCTCAAGTCCAGCTTGGTCTAAATAGTGAGACCCTGCTTCAAAAAGCAAAGCAGGCTAGGCGTTGTGGCACACACCTTTATCCCAGCATTCAAGAAGCAGAGGCCTGTAAGTTCCAGGTTAGCCGGAGCTGCACAATGAGACCCTATTTCCAAAACCCAAACCAAACCAAACCCAACAAACAAAAGAAACAGAATAATGTAATGGTACACTCTAGCAGCCAGACCCAGTTAGGAGTTGGTCACAAAGATGCAGGGATAGAGGGGAGAGGGATTGTGATCTGAGGCCTAGGGTTGTGATCAAAGGTTTGCCACCATGTGAAGAACAGTAGGGTGACTATAGTAGACAAAAATTTATTGTATATTTTATGAAGAACTAAAAGGAAGGAGTTGGAAGCTTCCAAACACAGAGAAATAATCAGTGATTATGGAGCAGGAAAAGCCAATTACCCCTATCTGATCATCACCCCTCATATACGAGTATTGAGCTACCATGCTGTGTGCCACGGATGTGTACAATTATCACATGCTAATGAAGAAAATGATTAAATACAAAACTGAGTAACAGAATATACAAGGTTAAGGCCATGAGGGATGGGCTCAAGCAGGGTTTGGGGAAGAATGCAGAAGTCTAGGACCAGAGTTGGTGGCAGACCTCAGGAAGCGGAGGTCTAAGAAAGGGTAGGAGGCAGAAGTTGAGAGCTAGAGAAGAAAAGGGATTCTAGGCCTCAGGCAGTGGGCCTTAGTGAGGTTTAGAGAATGGGTTTGAAGTAGAAGGGAAGGAAGGGGCCACAGAGGCCAGTGTTTGTGGAGAGGATGAGGGAGATGAGGAGGAAAGCATTAGATCCTAGGTAGCAGGGCTTAGAAGGGAACCAGTGATGGTTGAGCCAACAAATGAATAAGGCTTGCTCCTGGCTTTCCATGACCAGCCACAGTGACCCTGGCAGCCCTGGTGCCCCTTTGCCTGGATGTGACCCGACTAGCCACAGGCCCCTGGCCACTCCTGGTATGAGGAAGCCATGCCTTGTCATGACACAGGTTGTGTTGGGCTGCCCAACCAGTCAGATGAGCCTGACAGCTGGGCTGCCCAGGGGCCAGGGAGGGGCAGGGGGTGCAGGTGCTGGCCCAGGGCCTGCCCATCATCCCCTGCCCTCAAGTGCCACAGGCCTTTGGCATCTTCCCAGGAAGTTCAGGGCTTTAAAGCCCAGCTTTAGCTATGGCAACCCAAGAACTGAGAAAAGTGTCTCAAACCTCATGTCTACAATAATAACACTATTTATTTATCATTAGACTAAGGCCAGGGGCAGGGAGCTGGCTCAGTCAGTAAAGGGCCTGCTGTTCAAGAATGAGGACCTGAGTCCAGCATCCCTGTAAGAGGCAGGAATGGCCTTGCATGCCTATAACTCCAACACCAGGGAAGCAGAGATGGATGGATCCCCAGAGCTTGGCCAGCCTGGCCTAAACAGAGAGCTCCAGGTTCAGTGAGAGGCCCCATCTCAAAAGATAAAGTGGAAATGTGGTGGGCACTCACCTTTAATCTCAGCACTCAGGAGGCAGAGGGAGATAGATTATGAGTTTGAGGCCTGCCTGGTCTACATAACAAGTTCCAGGAGAGCCAGAGCGACATAGTAAGACAGTATCTCAAAAACAAATAGGGGCTGGAGAGATGGCTCAGCGGTGAAGAACACTGACTGTTCTTGCAGAAGACCCGGGTTCGAATCTCAGCACCCACATGGCAGCTAACAACTGTCCGTAACTCCAGTTCCAGGGGATCCAACTGTCTCTTCTGTCCTCCACAGGCATTGCACGACATGGGTGCACTTACCTACATGCAGGCAATACACGCGTACACATAAAATAAATAAAAATTTTTTAAGAACCTACATGAGGAGAGTATTGTTACTGCAGGTGGATAGATGGGGAGACTGAGGCACAGGTAGAGGAGGTGACGTCTGCAGGTTTCTCAGCAGGACTGTGCATCTGGGTCATGCTGGCCATGCCAGTCTCCAGTGTGCATTTTGTTGTAGGGTTCCACCTGAGCGGGAGCATCCGGGAATCAGGGGCTCCTGGGGAGCCAGAGCACCTCTACCAGGTCTCCATCAGCTTTGACCGCTGCAAGATCACATCTGTGAGCTGTGGCTGCGACAACCGAGACCTCTTCTACTGTGCCCATGTAGTGGCACTGTCACTGTACCGCATCCGCCATGCTCACCAGGTGGAGCTGCGGCTGCCCATCTCAGAGACACTGTCACAGATGAACCGCGACCAGCTGCAGAAGTTTGTGCAGTACCTCATCAGCGCGCACCACACTGAGGTGCTACCCACTGCCCAGCGTCTCGCAGATGAGATCCTACTACTGGGCTCTGAGATCAACCTGGTTCATGGTGAGGGTACCACATGGATGTAGGAGGGTCTGAGCAGAGGGGCCATTTATCCCCGGCTTTGTTTGAAGTCAGACCTAGAGAGAGGCAGTTTCTCATAGGTATGACCCTGGAGCCCCTGAGCCATTAAAAATCAGGCAACAGGGTAAGTGTGGCACAGACCTGTCATCCCAGCACAGGGGAGACTGAGTTGGGAGTATTGAGAGTTCAAGGCCAACCTGGGCTACATAAGTGAGATCCTGTCTCAAGTTAAGAGAGAAAAACAGTCAGGCAATGGGCAAGAGCAGGAAAGTTGAACCCCAGTGGGAAGTTCCACCCAGGGGTAGGTGTCATGGTGAGGTATGGAAGGTAACAGAAGGTGTTGGAGGGAGGGCCTTGTGGCTGCCTTGTCTGGTTCTAATGGTAGAACGGTGTGTGGGTAGATGACTAATTTTGAGTTGGACAGAGGGTATAGATGAAAGAAAGACCAGCGGGCGCACACACTGGGGGCCGACCAGGTGGGTATTCTTAAAGGGCCATGTAGGAGTGGCAGGTTTGATGACGAAGAATGCTTGTAAGTTGGGGTAGTTGGGTGGGTGGACAACATGGCTGTGCAAGTCAATGGATGAAGTGGGAGGGTGGGTGAATGGGGCCATGGGATGTACACAGATGCTAGGTGGGAACCATGGGTGAGATGGAGGAGGGACTAATAGAGTGGGTGGTAAAGGGGATGGAGGTGTGGAGGAACTGGTATGGGGTAGATGAAGAGATAGATAGAAACTAGCTTGGTGGCTGGTGTTCCAAGTGAGATGATGGATGAGGAAAAATGGTTGAGTGCTGATATTTTATGGACTATGAGTTAATGGATACCTGCATGTTTCCGTAGATGAATGGATTTGATATCTAAGTGAATGGAAGGGGCTGTGGTGTTTGGGACAAGGTGAGTGAAAGGATGGACAGACCAATGGACAGAGGGATGGATAGATGGTTGGACAGATCAATGGACAGAAAGATTGATAGACAGATGGATGAACAGATGAGTGGATAGGTGGAGAGATGGATATACAGACCGATGGATTGATGGTCAGGTGGGTGGATGGATAGGTGCACAGATGGACCTATGAACAGATGGATGGATTCATGTATTGATGAACAGGTAGATGGGAACAATGGTGAATGGACAGGTGAATTGATGGATGGATGGACAGGGAAGAGTGGATGGATAGATTGATGAATTGGAAGGGAAGATGGATGGGTGAGTGGATTGGTAGATGGAGGAATGGGTGGATGAATAGATAGGAAGGATGGACTGATAAACAGATGAATGGGAATGATGGATGGATGTTAGGTAGATAGATGGATAGGTGTATAAATGAGTGAGTGGGTGGATGGATGGATGGATGGATGGCTGAGTGGGTTGTTGAACAGTATAATGGGTGGATGGATAGAGGGATAGACCAATGGATGGATGAACAGTTGGATGAATAGATGGGTGGATGGATTGTCAAACACTAGAATAGGTAGGTGGATAGATGGATGGATGGATGGATGGATGGATGGATGGATGGATGGATGGATGGATGATGCATGGATGGAGTAGATAAATGGATGGGCATGGAGTTAACGGATTCCTGGTGAGAATGGACAGATACATTGGTTGTGCTTCTTGTGGGATGGATAGATGAGTTGGTGAGGGTGTGGATGGGTAGGGAGTTGTTGGATGGTTGGATGAATAAGTGGGAAAAAGAAAAACACATGGGTGGGTGGTGCTTCTGGTGGGATGGGGGAAACATCAGGATATATTGGTGATTTGGAGGAGTGACAGATGAAAAATCCACACTTTCCAACTCCACCTCTGGCCCAATGTCATATTTTTGTGATATCCCCCTGTAGGTGCCCCAGACCCCACGGCGGGTGCAGGCATCGAGGATGCCAATTGCTGGCACCTGGATGAGGAGCAAATTCAGGAGCAAGTGAAGCAACTGCTATCCAATGGTGGCTACTATGGGGCCAGCCAGCAGCTGCGCTCCATGTTCAGCAAGGTGCTGAGGCTGGGGGTGGGCAGGGCAGGTCTGTCTGGTACACCGCACCCCTTTCTCACCACCTGACCCCCTGCACAGGTTCGGGAGATGCTGCGGGCACGGGACTCTAATGGGGCACGCATGCTGATCCTCATGACAGAGCAGTTCCTGCAGGACCCACGCCTGGCCCTGTGGCGGCAGCAGGGTGCGGGAATGACAGACAAGTGCCGGCAGCTGTGGGATGAGCTAGGTAAGACCCAGACCCAGGGTGAAGCTGTGCTACAGCTCCTACTCCCATCAGCATCTGTGCTCACACCCTTCCTCCATTCATTTAAACACTATTGAGCCCCTCCAGCCTGCCAGCCACCCTACTAGGTGCTGAAGCTCCTGGAGAGAACCAAACAGACAAAATCCTGCTCCTGTGGGACTCATATTTGGTAGAAGAAACACACAGCACTGTATGGTTAAGGGTGTGTGACTCAGTGGTTACCATGCTTGCCTACCATCCATGAGGCCCTGAGTTCCATCACCAGCATGGATGCACAGATAAATGGATAGATGGATAGATGGGTGCATAGATGCATGGATGGATGCATGCATGGAGGGAGGGAAGGAGGGAGGGAGACGAAGGGAGGGAAGGAAGGAAGATAGTATATGGGTGGGTAGATAGTTAAATGCTATACAGTTTTGACCCTTGGTGTCCTTGGAAGTCTAGTTCCCAATCCCTCAGGATACAAACATCAGTGGATGTTTAAGACCCTTACATAAAACCAAGTAGTGTCTGCAGAGAATCTGTGCATATCTTTTCTATACATTTTGTTTGGCTTTCCTTTTGAAACAAGGTCTCAGTGTAGCCCAGGCTGATATTAACATTGCTCCATGGCCAGGTATGACTTTGAATTCCTTATCCCTACCTTCACTTCCCAAGTGCTGGGATTCACCCACAGCTGGCTGCTTTCATTTGTTTATTCATTGGTACTAGAAATGGAACCCAGGGCCTCATGTCTGCTAAGCATGTATTGTACCTCTGAGCTATAGCCCAACTCAGCCCTTTTGTGCTCTTTATGTTATCTCTAGGTGACAAGGTCAGTGCCATGACAATAGTTGTCATTGTATTGTTGAGGCTGCTCTACTCCAAGGCACTGCTTTTTTTTTTTTTCCAAGTTGTTTCAATTCAATCTATGGTTGATGGAATCCACAGATGCCAGAGCCTTGGATGTAGGGGCTGAACACTTTAGATCAGGCAACAGCTCATAATTCTACAAAGCCAGTTAGTGTTTTCAGCTTTGCTGGGCTCCACCTATTGCAGCAAAAGAGCAGTCAGATACATGGGAGCCATCACACTGCACAAGCAGTGGGGAAAGGTTCACCCAGCCAGAGTGGGCGGCCCTGAGGGTCAAAGGCTGACTTATCACTTCCCATGCTGCTCATGAGGCTGGGGCCATAGGAGTCACTGGCCAGAATCCTCTGCAGGTGGACTTCGAATCATTTTTGAGTCACAAAATAATTTCCTTTCTCTTTCTTTTGTTTTTGTTTTTTCTTTGTTTTCAGACAGGGCTTTGCTGTACCGACTGACTATCCTGGAACTCACTATATAGACCAGGCTGGGGTTCAAACTCATAGAGATCCACCTGCCTCTGCCTCCTGAGTGCTGGAATTAAAGGCATGTGCCACTATACCCAGCCTTTCTCTTTGTAATATTTTTCCTCACCTTTTAAAAATTTAGACTAGCAGTAGGTGACAAATGCCTGCAAGCCAAGTACTTAGGAGACTGAGGCAGGAAGATGATGAGCTTCAAGGTAGACCCTGTCTCAAAACATACTGAGGTCAGAGGAAAGCTTTGTGGAGTTGGTTTTTCCTTCCACTGTTTGAGTTCAGGGAATTGAAATCAGTTTGTCTGGTACAGTGGCAAGTGACTTTACCTGTTGAGCCACCTCTCTAGCCCTGCTACTTCACTTTCTTACCATAACATGAGGAGACACTTAGCTGCAGCCCACGTCCAGGTTAGGATGGCGCAAGGGCTGCAGGCTGCTTGTCAAGCCTGCACTGCCATGATTGGAAATGGGTGCTGAGCCTCTCTATGCTCCACAGGGGCGCTGTGGGTCTGTGTTATCCTGAGCCCCCACTGCAAACCAGATGAGCGCGCAGGCTGGCTGCAGCTGCTTGGCACTTGGGACAAACTGAATGTGTGCCCACTGGAAGAAGGCAACTACTCCCTTGATAGCCCCAGCCTGCGGTCCACCATGATGTCCAGCACAGGTAGGAGAAGGGTCCCTGCTACCTGTTCCTAGCAAAACCATCACCACTTAGCCAGCTCTACCTTCTACTGTAGCACTGTGTCCCGAGAGAGAGTAAGAGATGAAAGGGGGCCCAGCCACCAGCTGCCCTCCCAACAAGAGGGAGCAAGTGTCGAGGGCAGAAGCTAGTGTGTCCTGAAGTGTGCTGAAACACAGTGCTTACTGGGCCACATGTTAGCAAGAGGCAGAGAGAAGGTAAGGAAGAAAAAGGGGTCCAACAGGAGAGGAGAGGAGGCTATGGACATGAGAGTGAGAAACAGATGACGAGGTGGAGGAACGGAGAGGGAGATCAAAGGACAGGCAAAGAGACTGAGGAGAGAAGGGATAGGATGGGCACAGAGACAGGAGATAGTTACTTGCTCAGTTTTCTTACCACCGTGTCATGGGGCTGCAGTGGCCACCAGACTCCCACACACCTTTGGAGAATTAACACCCATCACCTGCCAGGGTGGAGCCCCAAGTTGGCATCTGGTAGAGAACACCTGGCCACAGCTTGATCTCTTCCCCGACACTGGACCATATTGGGGGGGGCCTCTTCTACAGGCTCAGAAGATGAAGAGGAGGTGACAATCGCAAGTCCCCGCCACACTGTCTTTGGTCGTGCACTTCAAGCAGGAGAATTGCACTGGAGAGACAGCCACCTGCAGAGGATTCTGGCCAGTGACTCCTATGGCCCCAGCCTCATGAGCAGCATGGGAAGTGATAAGTCAGCCTTTGACCCTCAGGGCCGCCCACTCTGGCTGGGTGAACCTTTCCCCACTGCTTGTGCACGGGTGGACACTCTGCGTGCCCATGGTTATCCCCACAAGGCCCTGAGGCTGGCATGTGCCATAATTAACTCCCTGCGGCTGCAACAGCGACACCAGCTTGAGAGCTACAAGCAACAGAAAAAAGGTGAGCTGGCCCTGGGGTCTGCAGCCCAGGCATCAGGGAAACATATTGCCCCACAAGCAGTAGGAAAGGGGGTCTGAGTAGCACCCCTGCTTCCCCTGGAAAAATGAAACCACTGTAGGTATTTCAGACAGAAAGGGGTTTTAATGAAAGCACTATAGGATTAAAACAAACCATTGCTTAGTGGGTTGGGGTATAGTTCTGTGGGAGAATGCATGCTTAGTAATCTAGGAGGCTTTGGGTCTCAATTCCAGCAGCTAAAGATCAAAAAGAGCTCAAAAGTGTAGGGATTAGGTCAAACTGTTTACAGCAGTCTACAGCTCTCAGGGCCAGTTATCACCTAAGTTGGTGGCAGAACTCTTATTTGCACCCTGCTGATGGCCACAGAAAAAATTGCCCACATTTCATGCAAGGAAACCTGGGAAATGTAGTTTCTAAGCTTCCAGCCTCTGCAATAGCAGGAAGTACCCATCACATGTCTCAAGAATGTGGACTCAGTGTGACCAGGAGACCAGACTATTTGATGTAGAATTCACAGACTTTTAAATGTGGGCAACAAATTCAGGTGTTGGGATGGGACTCAGTTGGTAGAGTGCTTGCCTAGTGTGTACAAGGCCTTGGGTTCAGTCCTCAACACTGCATAAACCAGGTCTGGTGGCATATGCCTCTAACCCCAGCACTCAGGAGGTGGAGGCAGGAGAGTCAGAACTTCAAAGTCATCCTCAGTTGCATAGTAAATTCAAGACCCTGTCTCAAAACAAACATAAATTAAAAGCAGGGCTGGGGAGGTGGCTTAGTTGATAAACTGCTTGCTTTGCGAGCTTAAGGACCTGTGTTTGAATCCCCAGCACTCACATAAAAGTTGTACATGACAGCATGAGCATGTAACCCCACCGGCAGATCCCTGGAGCTCTGAGGCCAGTCTAGCTGAAAAGACAAGCACCTGGACATGAGGTTTTGTGAGGAGACTCCATCTCAAAAACTGGAGTAGAGGGCGATGGGGTTCTAGCTTCTGCATATGCATGAGCATACACACGTGCATACATGGATACATATGCACACATAGACACAAGCATAGGCACTTGGACACATGGAAACACATGCATATGGACAGGCACACATATACATGAACAGAAGTACATCAACACATGGACATGCACAGGCATGTGCATACACGGACACATCACACAAACATCAAATCCACCATGCACATTGAGCAAAAGGAAACAAGCTTTTGGATTTGGGGAGAAAGAAGCCACTGGTTGAGTTCCTTGGATGGTGAGGTTGACAAGTCAGGTATCAGGAAAAGAGTCATGGAGGAAATGAGCTCTGAAACCTGAACAGAGCCCAGCTCAGCCTTAGAAGCATCAGGAAAATTCCTCAGACCAGCCTGGAGGAGTCAGAACCAATTTGCATGTAACCCAGGAGAAGAGGAGGATGGAAGAGTGTTGAGTGGAAGGAACAGCATGGGCAGGAGCTCAGAGACACAGGGCATGCACTGTTGGGAGGTCAGTAGGTGGGTTCCATACAGGGCAGGCAGGTGACCACATTGGAGAAATTTTCCATTGGCCCTTGGAGGCCTCAAGCAAATGAGCCCAGCCTTCAGAGAAGCAGGGAAGAATTCAGTGTTAATAGAATAGTACTACTTTGGTTGGATGCTTGAGGAACATGAGGATGCCCACAGGGTGGCAGGCTCTGGACACTGGTCTGGGGTAAGAAAGGATGCCCCCAGAGGCCTAGGTGAATGGAGCGTCCTCTCTCCACTGCAGAACTGCTCCACAAAGGGGCTACCTGTGTCACCAACACAGAAGGCTGGGTGGGCCACCCCCTGGATCCCATTGGCTGCCTGTGCAGGGCACTGCTGGAAGCCTGTCGCCTGGAGGAGGAGACCCTCTCTCTTTACCCAGGTACTCTTCCTTCACCCCCAGGAGCCCTGGAGAAAGATCAGGACTCACTCTGTGCCAGGTACCTCTAGAAGGTTAGGTTACAAGCCTGGCTTTTAGCTGTGCACCCTTCTGTGACCAGGAGCCAATTGGCTTGGCATCCCCTCAAAGTGAGACCACCCCAGGCCTAGGTGCTGCTAGAGGAAGGGGGTCATCTATTGGCGGGTGCTTAGAGAGTTGGGGCACCCCCTGAAACTCCCACCACTCCTGTTGCCATACTTGGGGCTAGGAAAAGAGGTTCAGACTCAGCAGCCCAGTCTGTGTGTCCCCCAGATTCAGGCGTGGAGAAGCGGAAGGTGGTCTACCAGCACGTGCAGGTGCCTGGGAACCCGGGAGAGTCCTACTTGGCACTGGCTCTGGAGGTGGCGCTGCTGGGGCTGGGGCAGCAGCGAGCCCTGCCCGAGGGGCTGTATGCCCAGGACAAGGTGGTGCGCAGTGAGGAGCAGCTGCTGGGCCTGCTGGAGGATGTGGCACTGGATGAGCGCCTGGTGCAGGTGCTGCGCAAGCAGGCGGGGCTGCTGCTGGAAGGTGAGACCAGTCTGCCCTAGACAGGCTGCAGCCAATAACTGTCAAGAATGAGGCCAGCCCTGCCCCTGGACCTTAGAGGCCAACCCACTGCCACACACACCGTTCATGGGCTCCATCCCAGGCCTGGCTGGTTCTGCCCGTTATTGGCCCTATTGGCTGGCTTGCTGAGTCTCCGCCCTCTGATGCCCCTGGGAGCAGACTTGGCTCCCCTCCTCCAGACTATCTCAAGTAATTGGTCCTTCCACGCTGGTCTTGGCCCCTATCCCCACCGCAGGCATGTCTCCTCTTTCTCCCAACCTGGAGTCCCTTAGAACCCCCCTTTTTAAGGCTCCTCCACCCGAGACTGAGGTCACCCTGTCCCTGTAGGTGGCCCTTTCAGTGGCTTCGGAGAAGTGCTTTTCCGGGAGAGTGTACCCATGCACACCTGTGCCCACTACCTGTTCACTGCGCTACTGCCCCACGACCCGGACCTGGCCTACCGCCTGGCGCTGCGAGCCATGAGGTAGGAAGGGCTGAGAGGGAGGATGGGTACCTGCTGGACAAGCAGAGAGGGAAGATAGGAGGCTCAACTATGTCTGGACGGGAAGGGAGAGAGAGCCCACCTTCAGCTTCCCAGGAAGGGAGGACAGGAAGCTCACCTCTGGCTGGACGGGCCAGGAGGGAGGTTGAGGAGCCCACCCACGACTGAATGTCAGCCTGGTTGAGGAGGCCTCCGGCAGCCCAGCATGCAACTGGTCAGGTGTCTTCACGGCGGGAGAAACATATAATATAGTTGAACTTGAGGATGATCGACACACTACAGAAAAGTGTTTGAAGCACAGCCTTTTTCGTGGAGGGTTGCCTCAGCCTGCTCTGGAGACTAGCCAGATTTATCTTGCAAGAGCCAAGATTTTGGCAATAAATTGGAAAGTAGTTTCCAGTGCTGGGGGTACGACTCAGTGCAGGGCTTACCTGCACTGTATTCTCAAGTCCCAGGCATTGCACACACATGACATGGGCATACAGAATTATACATACAGAATTATATTTCTGTTCATGTTTAAATATACATATAGGGTAGTGGCAACATTAAGCCATTCAACAAACACTTGTGCTCCCACCCTGGACCAAACCTTTTTCTGGTAGTTGTAAATGCAGCAGGAACAACAGGCCTAGCTGAGGTGCCGGGAGAACAAACAGGTCAGGCATCTATGGTACCAAAATGTGCTCCAGGAAGAGGGAGATTTGGTAGAAAGCTGTGATTTCATGTGGTGGTGGGGCTTCAAGGAAATGCCCACTGAAAAACATTCAAGAAAATATGAGGTAGTTAGTGTGAGAGAGCTGAAAGGCTGCGAGAGGACTGCCCGCAGAGCCGGGGCCTCCTGGCAGGGCAGGAGCCATGATAACACCCTCCCAAACAAAGGTTTCTGGAAAATGGAGTTTCTGAGCTTCCACAGGACTGATTGGTATTTGCTGGATGTTGAAAGGTGACATAACAGGAGCAGAGCAAGAGGGAAAGGTGGTGACACAAGGACAGGGGCGTGTCAGTGCACAGGCATCCTGTCACTTGTCACAAACAGAATGATTGATTCAACCAGTTCCCAGGCAGTGGGCACCCAGATAATGTCTCATCCTCTCTGGTGGTGGTGGGTTTTATTTTTTACATTTTTATTTATTTATTTTTGGTTTTTTTTGTGAGACAGGGACTCCTTATAGTCCCAACTGGCCTGGAATTTGATATGTAGACCAGGCTGGCCTCCATCTCACAGAGATCCACTGCCTCTGCCTCCTGGGTGCTGAGATTAAAGCTGGTTTCCATCATGCGAGGTTTGTGCTTGTTTTGAAGTAGAATCTCATGTAGCCCAGGCTGGCCTCAAGCTCCATATGTAAGCTTAAGGATCACCTTGAACTCCTGATTCTCCTGCCTCCACCTCCCAAGTGCTGGGATTGCAGGTGTGCACCACCATACTTGGCTAAACACATTTTCTTAATAGCGTGGCCTGGTAGCACAGACCTGTGATCCCAGCACATATGAGTCTGAGGACCTCAAGTTCCAAACCAGACTGGCTACATAGTAAGGCACTACCTCAAAAACCTAGATAGATAGATGAGACAGAGATAGATACAGACAGAGAAGGATGGGTAGATCATGACAGATAACAGGTAAATACATATGGAGAAAAACAATTGATAGATAAGACATACATGATAGATAATAGAGATAGAAATAGTTGTTAGATGACTGATAGATAATGAATTGGTGATAGAGAGATAGGTAAATGACAGGTTAGAGATAAATAGATGTATTCTGACACCCATGAACCACCTTTTCCCTCCCCCCAGCATACACTCTAGTTTAATTACTGTTCCCTTCTAGAGTAGCACCTGTTTTTTTCCTCTCTTTTTGTGCTGGGGTCCTTCTGTGTTGCCAAGGCTGGCCCTAGCCTCTCCTCTTCCCTACCCTCAGGAGTGCTGCAGGGGCAGGTGTGGACACCATGCCTGGCATGCTTTCTACTTTTTTAGCTTCTGTGTATGATTGAAATGCTATGGAGTTCTCTATGTGCCCCTGGCTTATTTCAGTGGATGTAATCCAGTTCCATCCGTGTGGCAGAATTCTATTCTTTATTCCTTTGTGTGCATGTGCTACATTTCCAGTAGCTACTCCTTTGTCAGTGTTCACCAGGTTGTCTGCGTATCATAATGAGTGTGACTAGTGGCGCAGTGCAGGCTAGTGCCCTGTCTCTCTGATATACTAACTTCCTGTCTGTGGATTTGTGCCCACCAATGAGATTGCTGGATTATATGGCAATTCTATTTTTAGTTTTTCAAAGAACTTCTGTTTTCCATAATGGTTGAACTGATTTACATTGCCAGCAACAGCTTTTATTTTCTTTTGTTTTATTGTTTGGAGCTGAAGACCCAACCCAGGGCCTTGTGCTTGCTAGACAAGTGCTCTTACCACTAAGCTTAGTCCCCAGCCCTTCAACAGGAGTCCCTATCTCCCCATGCCAGCGTGTGTTCCTTCTCTGTGTGATGGTGCCCAATGAAATCCCAGTCACGTTTTCTCCAGTGCTAGATAGAACTCAAGGCCTTTTGCTTGCCAGGAAAGCTTCTCTACTGCTGAGCCATGCCTCTATCCCCTCACTGGAAAATTCTTGGTAGGAGCTTTACTACTGAGCCACACCCCCAGCCCCTAACTGGGGGATTCTAGGCAGGAGCAGAAGGTGTAGAGGGGGCAGCTCCAGCCTACCCTGTGCTTGCTTCTCCCCTGTCCCAGGCTACCGGTGTTGGAGACAACTATCCCAGCTGGAGAAGCGCACCCCAACCCACTGGACTCCATCATGAGCAACCGCTTCCCTCGCTGGTTCATCCTTGGCCACCTGGAGACCCGCCAGTGTGAACTAGCCTCTACCATGCTGACTGCTGCCAAGGGTGAGGGCAGTGACAGCCTTCCTCCTTGTCTTCCCTCACCGTCTCTCCCTCCCTTTCCCTCTTGCATTTCCTTCCTCCACTTGTCATTTCCGTTGTTAGTTGTTTCTGTTTCTGTTTTGAGAAAGGGTCTCACACTGAATCCCAAGCTGACCTAGAATTCACTGTGTAGCCCTGACTGGCATTGAGCTTGTCCTCTTCCCTCAGCCTCCTGGCCTGGCCCACCATACCTGCTCTGATTCTTTTACCACAGACTGTGCCACTTCTGCTGGAACACCCTTGGTGGGGCCAAGCAGCGTCTTCCCTGGTGCTGGGAAGGGTAGGGAGAGGTAACAAAACTGCCCCAAATCTTCTGCCTTGTGGGGGAAGGTGGACAACCAGCAAAGCCAGGACCTAGCATGGCTTAGCGGTAAAGCCCCTGCTTAGCATGCTGAGCTCCCTAAGCACCACAGAAACAGACAGACAGGGGCTGAAGAGATGACTCTTTTGATAAAGGTTACCATACAAACATGAAGACCTGAGTTCAGACCCCAGAACACACATTAAAAACAGGTAGGCTGGGCCAGCATGCCTTTAATCCCAGCACTCAGGAGGCAGAGGCTGGTGGATCTTTGTGAGTTCCAGGCCGGCCTGGTCTACATAGAGCATTCTGGGCCAACATGGTCTACATAATGAGTTCCAGGCCAGCCATGATTATTTGTGGTCCCAGAGCTGGGGAAGTAGAATTAGGAGGATCCCTGAGGTTTGCTAGCCAGCCGTCCTTAGCCTATTTGTGAGCCCCAGGCTACTGAGAGACCCTGTCTGGAAAAAAAAGTTGGCTGAGGGAAGAAACCCATGCTTTGCTCTTTGGCCTTCACCACACACATACTATATACATACATGTACAACGTGCTCTCACACAAGAACACAAACATATATCACCATGCAAAAAGAAAGTACTGGCACCATGCAAGAAGCTACACCAGGAGGCCTTATTCTTTTCCTGTGTGCTGGGGTGGACCCCAGAGGCCATGAGAGCTAGGCCAGCACCACCACTGAACCATGCCCCCAGCTCAAGCTGGTGGACACTTTAAAACACAAACCCAAAGGTGAGGGCAGAGTTCTGCTTGGGCTACAGTAACACTGGACCACAGGCTGGGCAGCACAGATACGGTCTCAAAGATCTGAAGACTGAAGCCCAAGAGCCAGGTGCCGTAAAGGCAGGTTTGTGGTAAGGCTTGCTTCTTAGCGTACAGTACTGCCCTTATAGTGGAGGTAGTGGGAAAGGGAAGGAAATACATTTCTTCTGATAAGGGCACTCGTCCCCTTACAAGAACCCCACCCTCCTGATCTCATCTAACCCAGTTCTCTAGCAAAGGCCCCATCTGCCACACCATCCCATCAAAGGTTTTCAACATATGAATTCAGGAGGAGAAGGGGATATGGTTTAATCCCCAGCATCTGGGAAGAACATTTGAAGCAAAGGGATACAGCTAGTACAGAGGTTCTGAAGCTGGAGCACAGCTGTGATATTTGAAAAATGAGATGACAGTAGGCTAGGGTACAGCTCAGTGGAGAAGCCCCTGTTTAGAATGCTCCAGTGAGAGACTGAGGGTCCAACTCAACAGAAGAACCCTGTGGGGTTGGAGGTATGGCCCTGTGGCAGGACACTGGTAGAGCATGTGTGACACCCTAGTTCTGTCCTCAGTGCTACAGTTATGAAAATGATAAATAGACAACCAATGTTCCAGAGCAGACTGAGGGAAATACCAATCTGGAGCAATGGTAATAATTATGGGAAAGTCTTGGGTGGGGGAATGCAGCTCCATGTAGAACACATGATTAACACACACAAGGTCCTGGGGTTGATCCCAAGGACTAGAAAACAGAAAACAGAAAGCATTCCTGTGACCTCTTAGGGTTGCCCCTTCTCAGAAACCCTACCTAGTTCCCTGCCACACATGGGCTCTGTGCTGGGCTGGGCTCCAACTGTGGCCTCTGTTCCTCCTACTCAGGAGACACCAAATGGCTACACTCAGTCCTGGGCTGCATCCAACAGAACATTCACTCCCCAGCCCTGCTCTTCAAGCTGGCACAGGACGCCTGCAAGACAGCCACACCAGCCAATGTGCCACCAGACACTGTGCTGCTGGGAGTTGCACTGGAGCTGGGCTTGCAGGTACTCTCCACTAGCACCAGGAGACTGGTACTGCCTGGGATGCTGTTGAACAGGAGCCCTCCCCCTGGGTAGGGCTAAGGGGCGGGACCCTGCTCCTGGGCAGGACTAAGAGGTGATCCTGCTCCTGGGCCAGGTAGGGGTTGCTGACATAGGAGCCATACCTCTGAGGGTGGAACCGTAGACCAATCTTCGTGTGACAGATCACCATGGGGGTCAGGGTCATAAATGAGACCCCATCTCCAGGCATGTGATGAGGATGAGGGATGTCCCAGGGAGGGCGGGATAGGGTTTGCAAGCTAGTAGATAGGCCACAAGAGAAAGCATAAGGGGATATAGGGATGGAGCGCAGTTGGTAGAGTGCTTGCTTAGCACACGTGAAGCCCTGAGTTTGAGCCTTAGCATCACAGAAACCAGGAGTGCTGGTTCACACCTATAATCTTGCCCCTCAGGGTGGAGGCAGGATGGGGGCGTTCAAGGTCATCCTCAGCTACCTAGTTGGAGGCCAGCCTGAGCTACGCAAGACCTAGTCACCTAAAGAAAAATGAGGGCTGGGGTTGCAGCTTAGTTGGTATAGAGCTTGCCTAGCATGCACAAAGCTCTGGAAGAGACCCTGTCTGCAAAAACAAAGTGAACAGGTCCTGAGAAACAATACCTGAGGTTGACCTCTGGCTTCCACATGCATATACATGCATATGCACCTTACACATGAACAGACACACAGAACCAAAGCAATAGCTTAGGATAACTTACACAATAGGATCAGTCCTTCCCAAGTACATCAGGCCCATGGGTATCCACAGGGAGTTAAATTGTCCCTAGACAGCCCTAGGAATTGGTGAGGGGAAGACAAGAACAGACTGTTAGAGAAGAAACTTGGGAGCTTACTGAAGCATAGTTCAAGGGTGGGACCTCAGAGCAGGCAAACATGTAAGGGGCTTCTGGGGTTAGTATCTACAGAGGGTGGGGCTGTAGGGCAGGTGCTTTGGGGAAGAATCTTCTGGCTTTAGGCATAGAACTTTGCAGAAAGAAGGGCTAGTTCATTCATTCTGTGTGTGATTTGTAGTGTAGGATCTGGAGTTCAAACCCCATAGCAGCAGTAATCAAGTGTTCACTGTACCCGTGCAGAGGACCTCAGCCATGTCATTTCGTTTAGCTTTCACAGTACCACCATGGAGTGAACAGTATCTTTGTTTTTTGTTTGTTTGTTTGTTTGTTTTTTTGGTGGCATACTTGGTGGCATATATCAGGAGGCAGGGACAGTCAGGTCTTTGTGTATTTGAGGCTAGCCTGGTCTAATAGTTCAGTCTAGCCAGGGCTTCTCAGTGAGGCCTTGCACATGTATGTGCAAGTACCTACAGAGTCCAGAAGAGGACATCTGATCCCCTGGTGCTGGAGTTACAGGCGGTTATAAGCTGTGTGATGTGGGTCCTGGGAACTAAACCCTGGTCCCCTTCAAGAGCAGCAAGTGCTCTTAACTTCTGAGTCATCCATCCAGTCCTTGGATGGATACTTTGATTTTGGTCTCACAGTATAGCCTAGGCTGGCCTCAAACTCTTAATCTTCCTGCCTTAGCCTCCTGATTTCTAGGATGACTTGTGCCCCACTACACCAATCTTAGATGCTATTTTGTGTGTGTGCATATTCATTCTTGCACATGTGTACATGTGTGAGGAGGTCAGAGGTCAGCCTCCAGTGTTGTTCCTCAGGTACCATCAACCCTGTTTTTGACATAGAGTCATCAGCCTGAAACTCACCAAGTAGGCTAGGCTGGCTGGTGAGTGAGCACCTCCCTAGTGCTGGGATTACAGACACATACTACCATGCTGTGTGTGTCTGTGTGTCTGTGTGTGCGCGCACATGCATGGGGTTGCCTACACAGGCCAGGAAAGAGGGTGTCAGATCCCTTGGAGCTGGAGTTGGAATGTGAATGCTAGAAATCAACTCTGGTCTCCTGAGAAAACAACACTTAATTGCTAAGCCATCTTTTTTCCCACATGAGTTCCAGGGATCAAACACAGGTCTTCATGCTTGTGTGGCAAGTACTGCATTGATTGAGATATTTTCCCAGTTCATTTTTTTTTAAGATTTTTTTTAATTTTAAAAAAATATTTTTTTTAATTTTATATTTTATGTGTATGTAGGTACATGTGTACCTACATGTATTGCCTACATGTAGGTAAGCGCACCCATGTCGTGCAATGTCCAAGGAAGACAGAATAAGCTGTTGGATCTCCTGGAACTGGTGTTACAGACAGTTGTTAGCTGCCATGTGGGTGCTGGGATTTGAACCTGCGTCTTCTGCATGAACAGCCGGTGTTCTTAACCACTGAACCATCTCTCCAGCCCCCTATTTTTTCTTTTTTTAAAAAAATATTTCTTTTTATTTTATGTGCATGAGTGTATTGCCTGCATGTATATAAGGGCACCCATGTCCTGCAGTGCCCACAGAAGTCAGAAGATAGTGTCAGATTCCTCTGGAACTGGAGTTACAGACATTATTAGCCAATATGTGGGTGCTGGAAATCAAACCTGGGTCCTCTGCAAAAGCAGTCAGTGCTCTTTAACTGCTGTGCCATGACTCCAGCTCCAAGATTTCTTTTTTTTTGAAACAGGGTCTTCCTGTAGCCCCAGCTAGTCTGGAACTTGCTGTGTAGACCAGGCAGGCCTCGATCTCAGCAATCCTTACCTACCTCTGCCTCCTCCATGCTGGGGTCGAGTGCTGGAATCAAAGATATATGCCACCATGCCTGGCTTTTTTTCAGATTTTATTTTAAATTCTGTTGGGGGTCATATATGCATGTTTGTGCGGGTGCTCACAGAGGCTAGCTAGCTAAAAAAGGACATTGGGTTTCCTGGAGCTGGAGTTTTTAATCCCTATTTTGTAGAGCAGGAGATGGAATTGAGAACCTCTTCCTTGCCTCCCTGGGCCCCTCCTCCAGTGAAGGGCCTGATGCCGCCCCCTTCTCCCTCTGCAGGTGATGCGAATGACACTGAACACCATGACCTGGAGGCGCAGAGAGATGGTTCGCTGGCTGGTCAGCTGTGCCACAGAGATTGGTGAGCACCTGGAGGGGATGTACCTTCACCTGCAAATTCTGGTCTGGAAGAGGGCACTGACAGGCATGAGAATGGGCCCTTTCTGGATTCCAGCTTGAGCCAGTCTGGGTGTCGGGGTGATGGCGGTGGGGGGAACAGAGGTAGATAAAGCTGGTGCTGGAAAGGCTGAAACAGGACTGGGGTGGTGGGCTCCAGACAGCAGCCTCCCCACAAGGTTTCCACTCTGGCCACCCACCCTAGCCTCTTGGAAAGAGAAGCCATTCTCAGCCACAGTGGCACAGTCCTGCCCATTCCAGCACTGGGGAGTTGGAGTCAGAAGGATCCCAAGTTCAAGGACAGCCTTGGCTGCATAATGAGACCCTGTCTCAAACTCCAAGGGCTAGGGATGTGGCTCAATGGAAAAGCAATTGCTTGACAGGGACAAGTCCCCCCCCCCCCATTTCATCTGTAGCACCTGCAGGAAAAAAAAGAGTGGGGCCAGAGCTCATTTGATAGAGTGCGTGCCTAGCCTGCATCAGGCCCTACATTCTGTCCCAACACAGGGGCACATGCCTATAATTCCAGCACTTGGGAGGTGGAGGCAGGAGGATCAGAAGTTCAAGGTCATCCTCAGCTCTATAGTTAATCTAAGGGGCTCCTGTCCTGCATGGTGAAGGAGTGGTGGGTTGCAGGGGTCTGGGGTAGATCATCTTGATCAGACCCTGCCTCTGACCCTGAGAGTGGTTCCTGCCTGTCCATCTCCAGGCTCCCCTGCACTGATGAACATCATGCAGAACTGGTATTCCTTATTCACCCCGGTGGAGGCAGCCACCATCGTGGCGGTGACAGGTACCACCCACACCACTCTGCTGCGGCTGCAGCTGGACACTCCGGGGCGGGAGGAGCTATGGGCCTGCGCACGCACCCTGGCACTGCAGTGCGCCATGAAGGACCCCCAGAACTGCGCTTTGCCAGCCTTGACGCTGTGTGAGAAGAACCACGCGGCCTTTGAGGCAGCCTACCAGATCGTGCTGGATGCAGCAGCCGGTGGCCTCGGCCATGCACACCTCTTCACAGTGGCACGCTACATGGAGCACCGTGGCCTGCCACTGCGGGCCTACAAGCTGGCCACACTAGCCTTGGCGCAGCTCAGCATCGCCTTCAACCAGGACAGCCACCCTGCCGTCAACGATGTGCTGTGGGCTTGCTCTCTCAGCCACTCGCTGGGCCGGCAGGAACTGTCAGCCATCGTGCCCCTCATTATCCGCAGCATCCAATGTGCACCGATGCTCTCCGACATCCTGCGTCGCTGGACGCTCTCGGCACCGGGCCTGGGCCCACTGGGGGCCCGCAGGGCGGCCAAGCCTCTGGGTGCCGACAGGGCACCTCTCTGCCAGCTCCTGGATGCTGCGGTGGCTGCCTACATCACCACCAGCCACTCTCGCCTCACTCACATCAGCCCGCGCCACTACGGGGACTTCATTGAATTCCTGGGCAAAGCCCGAGAGACCTTCCTGCTGGCCCCCGATGGGCACCTGCAGTTCTCGCAGTTCTTAGAGAACCTCAAACAGACATACAAGGGCAAGAAGAAGCTGATGCTGCTGGTGCGAGAGCGGTTTGGATGAGGGGCTGCAGGGAGCAGAGGCCTGGGGCCTCCCCCAGCCTGCCTCCCTGACACCAGAGGCCCTTTGGGCTTTTCAGTATTAAGTCAGGGAAGGTAGAAGCAGGAAGTGGTACCCTGACATGTGTGTGCCTAGGAGTGTGCAGACATGCGGGAAATCTGAAGCCATACTGCCACCTAGTCGCCTGGAAGGGGGTATGTGCCTAGGCTCCCCACAAGCTCTGACTCCCCCAAATTCACAGGTTAACTGGGGATTCCAGAAGGGCTGGGAGGCAGAACTTTCCTGAAAGTAGTCCTCAAAGTCAGTGTAGCAGAACCTCTGCAACCCACCCAGGTGGCTGGGGAGCTTCACATTAGGGCATCTAAATAACTTTGTTCTCCCTCACCCACTGCTCAGGGGTCCTGTCCCACTGTCCTGTGTTCTCTGCTCATGTGGCCCCTCTGCTCATGTGGCCCCGCACAGACCAATGCTTTACCACCACTGAAGGATATCAAGAGGTTTCAGGCCTCAGCCACATACCTCACCCCTGAACCCCATGTCCGGCCAGGACCCCCTTTCTCTTGGGCACCAGGGTCCCAGAGTAGGTTAGAGGTGGCTCTCCGCTGCCCTGCCCCCACCCTCTAGTCACTGGATACACAACTCAGGAACCAGGCAAGGCTGTGCCTTCCAACCTGGTGTGGGGGACACAGGCAGCCAGCCAAGGACCCTATCTTGTCTTCCCGGTTGTTCTATCCCTCCATCTGTTTCCCCTCTTCCCTTTCAGCGGTTCTGTTAAGCTCCCTCCTCTCCCAGGCTGCCCTTCTACCCCTGCCTTGGCCCACGGAGGAGGGACTGAGAGTCTTAGTCCCAGTCAGCCCTGTCTTCTCTTGTTTGTTAAGGAAAAAGTTGACGTCATTTTGTAACTTTTTTTCTATTTATTGAATTGTATATTGTATTCCCTTTCCCCCCCGTTCCTTTTTTTTTTTTTTAAGAGTGAACACAACTTCCTTTTGACATTTTGGGTCTGGGATGCATTTGCACACACCCAGGGCCAGGGTTCCAGTGACTAAAAGATCCAGCCCATCTCCCTGGGCCCTGCTTCCAGCGCTAGCGGGGCAGCTGCCGCTGGCTTCCTCCCGCGCACCCCAGAAACAGCGTGGGGCAAGGCGGCCGCAGCTTGCTGGTCTCCGCCGGCCGGTCCCATTTTGAATGTCTGGGGAAGGCACACCCAGCTCAGAGGCAGCCAAGTTCACCCCTACCGGTCGCCGGGAACTGCCGCCCGGCTCCGGACACCGCCGCTGTGGGCCGACTCGCAGTAGCCGACCCCGGGACAATAGTCCGGGTGACGCACGGGGGCGTGGCCATTGCGCGTCTGGGCTCCAGGTGACGTCGCCTTGGTTCTCCTTTCCCTGGCTCCTGGGAAGCGGGTTCTCCGCGGCCCTTAGCGACTGGAGGGCGGATGGCCTGACGGTCTTTGTCCGAGCGAGGACAGGTCGCTAGGGGGCGCCGTAGCAAGGGGGCGGGGCTCCGGTGGCGCTCGGCGCTGTCCTTTGCTCTAGGGAGCCAGTCGCGGGCGGACCACCCTCGCGGGTCCCACACCAACTCACACGCTCCTCATCGCTGCCTGAAGGCCTGGCATGTGGAACAGCGGGCCTGGAGAGCACCGCATCCGCCAGCGGCCCCAGCGACGTGCTGCTGGGGTCTGAGAAACCCGTTTCTGTGCCTCGGTTACCAGTCATGCACATGCTCCCTCGTGGAACTGGGGTATCACTTGGGTTCCCCAATCACAAATGTACCCGCTTAGGCCTGGTGTCTCCATATCATACCTCAAAACCAGAATCTTTCCACCCGCCTACCCTCACACAACCCAGACCTGAATTATCCCTAGGGTCCCAGCCACCTCCAGATGTCAATGGCCCCAAGACCTTCCAGTTGCCACATCGCGTGCACATACACATCCCTCAGGGTCAGGACACCCTCAGACCTTTCCAAGCACAGGGTGCCCTCTCTAAATAAGTTTCTGTCGTCTTCCAAGAGGCAGGTGGATCAAGGTTAGAGATAGGTGAGACCAGAAGCCCAGGGTGCCAGAAAACAGTCATGAGGACTGAACACTGTGTATGTCCAACCCCAGGCTCTAGACATAGGGAGAATGGCTTCAAGTTCAAAATCACCCTGGTCTACATGGAGAGACCCCCGTCCCAAAAGGGAGAAAAAAATAAAAAAGCCAATACTGCAGAGGTGGGAGGCACAAATGAGGAGACCAGACCTTCAGGAATGAAGCAATGCAATTTTCATTTAATTGGAAAACAGGCATAGCACTCAATACAGGCCCTGCCCCTCTGCCCCTATCGTGGGTGGGAGGGCACTAGGCCAGCCACCTCAGCCCAGTGCCAGACAGCCTGCATCCCATCTGATTTGGGGATAGCCGGCAGATATTTAATTCTGGAGACCAAACTAAGGAACACAGAGACCACACCAGGAGAGGGCCTGTTTCCTTCCCGGGCTCATGTAAACCTTGCTCTCTGCCCCATATGTGGGGCAGTAGTCTTGCCCTCCTTCCCAAAGTAGAAAGCTGCAGGCACCAAAAAGGGCCAGGCGTCCTGGGTCAGGTCAGGCCAGCTTTGTTCCGGAAGCTCGGAGTTGACATTTAACGGTCAGGGGGCCCAAGACAGCTTCCTCTTGGGTAACTGGCTGCAGGGCAAGTGCTGGAGGGGGCTGGACCCTACCAGGCTTTCAGGCCTCAAGGGGACATAGTCTGCTTTTTCATGCAAGGACCACCCATTCATCCACCTGTCTCTTTGGAAACAGCACAGCTCAAGGTATGGTCATGGGGAGGGTCCCCAAGGAAGGCTTAGAGGGGGCCTACAGCAGATAACTGAACCTAGGAGGACTGATCACTGGTCCCAGGTCCCTGCTGCATCCAGATCTCTGCAGGGGTGCCGGCTCCCAAGGGGCTGGACTCCTGTTCCTGCTGAACTGAGCCAGTGCACTAAAACCAACTGTGTTTCAGCTCAGTAGGCACAGGAGGCAGAGCCCGGGGAGAAGCAGCACTGGAGCAACCAGGTGGAAGGGCAGGGTGGGCAGCAGCAGCCAGAGAAGATGTGGACCCAGGGGGCGGAACTTAGCCACTGTGAACATGACTTGGTGTGGACCCTGCTCACAAGCAGCTAAGCCCTGCTCCTTGAGCCAGCTGTCATGACGGCCTCTGTCACCCAGCTACCAGGGTGGCAGGCATCTGCAGCAACAGCTGCCCCCGGAAGGCAGAGCACAGGGTCAGTTGGAAATCCCTGGCAATGTGATTTGTGATTGACATCAAATCCCATCCCCAGGAACCCCAGCCGGCCAAGGCACGGTAGGGGGATACCACGTGGGACTGGAGTGCAGCACCTGGAGGGAGAAGAGAAAGAAGGGAGAGAAAGAGATTAGAAACATTCCTACCCTGGTCCCCACCTGCTTTTTGGGTTTTGTGTTTTTTTAGGCAGAGTCTCATATAGCTGGGCTGATCTTAAACTCCTGATCCTCCTGCCTCCACCTCTGGAGTCTGGAGTGCTGGTGTTACAGGCCTGCATTATTACACCCCGATCATGTAGCATTGAGGAGGGAACAGCTTTCCTCTGTGAAGCCTCACCTCTGCCCTCCACCTGTTTCTACAGGGAAGCCTTGTCCTCATACAGAGGGGCATCTGTGTGGGGGAATGGAATGAGCTAGCCAGATGCTGGGCACCCAGGAACACCTCCAGCCCCACAGTCTGGCCCCATAGGGGCCAGCCAGATGCTGGGCACCCAGGAACACCTCCAGCCCCACAGTCAGAGATGCCCAGAGCACCTTCCAAAGTGGCTGCAGGAGCTCTCTCAGCAGCCAATTGGCCTGCTCCTCTTCCCATCCCGTTCCCAGCCCTGAGTCCTGGGCAGGCCAAATAGGGCCATGGAGAAAGGAAACTAAGGGGGCCAAGGGAGGCAGGCAGGCAGGCCAGGGAGGAAGTGACCTCACCCCAGCTGGCGCCACTTCCTAGAAGCCTGAAGGGCAGGAGGAAACCACCAGCGCCTCCCACCCCTTTGGCCCTATCTCCTCCACAGCCAGCTCAGCCTGTGTGTCCGTGTGTCCGTCGCCCCCCCCCGCCACCCTGCAGATACAGACTTCCAACACCCCACATTCCCAGTGCCCAGGGCCCAGGGGGCATCTCCTCCAAACAACACCTGAGCGAAAACCAAGTCCCAGCTCCTCAAGTTTCCTGAAGGCTCTCCAGGTCTCAGTCTCCCTGTCTGTAAAATGGACCAAGAAAGCCGCAGGTGGTGGCCCATGTCTATCATCCGAGCACTGAGGAGAATGAGGCCAGAGGGTTGCCAGAATCCAAGACCTATCTGTGCTATTTAATGAGTTCTAAGTCAGCCTAATACAGTGAGACCCTTTCTAAAACAAACAAATAAATCTACAAAGTGGTCTGGGCAACCTCACAAAGAAGGAATTTAGCACTCAGCACTAGGGCAGGCCACAAAATTCAGGGCCCACCCAACAGAATGGGTGAGTACTCCAGCCTTTTGCTTGCTACTTTTGAAGACCTGAGTTGTATCCCTGGGACCCACGTGATAGGGTACTGACTCCTGCAAGTTGTCCTCTGAGCTTACACACTCAACGAGACACACAAATAAATAAATGTAAATTTTAAAACTTTTTTTTTTTTTTTTTGGTTTTTTTGAGACAGGGTCTCTCTGTAGCCCTAGCTGGCCTGGAACTCAGAGATCTAGGCTTGCCTGGATCTCACAGAGATCTGCCTGCGTCTACCTCCCCAGTGCTGGGATTAAAGGCATGTGCCACCACAGCTGGCCTCTAAAACATTTTTTTTCAAAAAAGAACTTCAGGCCATGCTTTTAAATGCCAGCCCTTAGGAGGCAGAGGCAGGCAGATCTCTGTAAGTTCCAGGCCATTCAGGTCTACATAGGGAATTCCAAGTCAGCCAGGGCTATAAAGTGAGACCCTGTCTAAAAACCAAATAAAAACAAAACAAAACAAAACAAAAACTCCATGGCTGGGAGAGTGGGAAAGAGCACACACCCCTGTAGGACACAGTCTCTCTATCTGAAAAATACCAATAAATTATTTCTGAACCTCTGAGGTAGCACACATCTGTAATCCCAGCACACATGAGGTAGAGGGAGGGAGATCCCAACTTCAAGGCCAGCCTAAGCTACAGAGTGAGACCCTGTCTCAAAAACAGAAAGGAGCTGGAGGTGTAGCTCAGTTGGTAGGGTGCTAACCTAGCCAGGACTCTGGGTTCCATCCCCAGCACCATAGCACAGGCCTGTTAGCACAGCGCTTGAGAGGTGGAGGCAGGAAGATCAGGAATTCAAGATCATCTTTGGGTATGTAGCAAGTTGGAGGCTAGGCTGGGCCACATGAGACCTTCAAAAAGAAAATCTTTGCTTCGTAAGTACTTGGCAGGACAGTCCTGTGCACGTCTACCATGCAGTACATGTCATTAGCAGCAAGTAGGACAGTGGACTCTAATATCTAGATCTGTTCTCATCCACATGGGGGGGGGAGGTAAAAGATGTCCTGCTGTGTCCCATCTCCTCGCAACCCCCGCCACACCCCATTACCTACCCCCTTCCCACCAGGCCCAGGCCCAGCCCCGTCTCCTTAGGGTCTGGGGGCAGCCCAGGGCCCACACGGTGGCCAGCCTCCCCAGCCGCCGCCGGAAGTGAGACAGCATATTCGTGTCCCAGGGACCAGAACGGGAAGGGCGGCCATTTGGCCAGGCTGGTTTCCTGTGGGGTTTCCCCTACACAGCCCAAGGCTGGGGCCAAGGCCACTCCCATCCATACAGACACCCAAGGTCTGAGTCTGGCGTGGATGGGCACTGCCACGCAGGTGCCCAGGAGCTGAGACTCCCCTGTACCAAGGACTGTGCCTCTCTGGCTCGTGGGAAAAGGGGACGCCAGGGAACAGAGGTGCTGACGACTGGAGGTATTCCGGACAGACCGCCGCAGCCCGCATCTGTGCACACAGCCCATAGACCCTCGGCGGCCCAGCGGACCAGAAGTGGACTCCACGGTTTCCCGGGCCTCACGAAGGAGCCAGGGCGGGGCACTGCCGCCGTCCCCAAGTCTGATCCCCAAATACTTTCCACCCTCTCAGAGCAGCTGGGATCGGAAAATACCACGGGCTGCAGGCCCCGCCCAGCCGCCGCCCTCCCGCATGTCACCAGCACTCTGCCTAATGGCCCAGACTTCCCAGGAGCTCGGCGGCTGGGCCTGGGCCAGCCGGACGCGAGTCACAAATCCCCGCCCTCCATGCCTGAACCCGCACAGGGACTAGACACCCGAACCCGGGTGGGGGAAGCAGGGACATCGGCTAGCGGCTGGACCCCGGTGCCACCCAGGGTGGAGGGGTTGCAGGAAGGGGTGAGCAGGGCTGAATCACTTGTTATAAATAGGGATATCAGCGACCTCCCACCCCTGGTGCCGGCCAGCTACACTCCAAACCAAACCCCCATCCCATTTTTTAAAATTCTTTTTGTGGTGCTGGGGAAGAGACCCCAGGGCCTGGCATAGGTTAGGCCAATGTGCTACCACCAAGCCATATCCAAGCCCTTAAGTTCCTTTCAAGCCGTCCAGAGCCCAGACTTGTACACTAGAGTGCAGACCTAGGCTTGCTCTGGCCTATCCCAAGCCCTGGCCTGTACTGGGAGAGGGATGCTAACCACCCATTTTACTTGCTGGCTTCTGAGATGTTCTAGCCCCTTCTGTTAGCACCTCAGGATTCCAAGGCTCACTAGATGTCACACATGCTTGTCATTCCAGCATTCGGCAGACTAAGGCAAGTGTTCGAGACCAGCCTGGACTGTGGAGTGAGCCTCTCAAAAAGAAAAACAAAACAAAAAACCCAGCCTGGGGATACAGAGCCCTAGCCTAGCTTACGCCAAGCCCTGGGTTCCATCCCCAGCACAAAAACCTAAAACCAGGCATGGTGGTGTACACCTGTAATTCCAGCACTCAGGAGGTAGAGGATCAGGAATTCACGGTCATCTCGGACTACCTATGGAGTTCCAGGCCAGCCTGGGCTACATAGGCTCTGCCTATAAATTTTTTTTAATTGATTAAATAAGATTAAAAATAATTATTACAGCCGGGCATGGTGGCGCACACCTGTAGTCCCAGCACTTGGGAGGCAGAGGTAGGCAGATCTCTGTGAGTTCAAGGCCAGCCTGGTCTACATAGTGGGTTCCAAGACAGCTGGGGCTACAGGGAGACCCTGCTTCAAAAAGACAAAAAAAAAAAAATTATTACTCAGGCCAGGTGTTATGGCCCATGCCTTTAGTCCCAGCACTCAGGAGGCAGAGGCAGATGGATCTCTGTGAGTTCAAGGCCAGCCTGGTCTACATAGCAAGTTCCAGGCCAGCTGGGGCTACAGGGAGACGCCCCCAAAAATTATTATTCAAACCAGACATGGTGGTGCAAGCCTTTAATACCAGCACTCAGGATGCAGAGTCAGGCAAATCGCTGTGAGATCAGGGCCAGCCTGGTCTACATAGCAAGTTGCAGGCCAGCTGGGGCTACAGGAAGACCCTGACTCAGTCTACATAGCAAGTTCCAGGCCAGCTGGGGCTACAGGGAGACGCCCCCAAAAATTATTATTCAAACCAGACATGGTGGTGCAAGCCTTTAATACCAGCACTCAGGATGCAGAGTCAGGCAAATCGCTGTGAGATCAGGGCCAGCCTGGTCTACATAGCAAGTTCCAGGCCAGCTGGGGCTACAGGAAGACCCTGAC